CCTATTACAATAGATGATTGCATAAACTCTCATGCTTAGAGAAGTTAGGCTTAGAGAGTGATGGCTAAGTTGATGAAAAACTTATGAATTCATCGTATCGAGTAAAGCATAGACTTTAGCTCATATACATAAAAAGTAGTCGAACTAATCTGCTATACTAATCCTTGTTACTAATCATAAGATACTTCGTTCAAATGAGTCTGATAAAATCAAACTAAAAGCTAACCAAATAACCAACTGATCAAACTTAGGAGGGGCTCCGTGCTATGATAATTTTATATCATGATGGGGTGTTAAAGATAAAGATTTGTGATTGTCCGACTTATTGTAAAGACTAAGTAAGAAAGAATGGAACACATTTAGAGCTATTTTGAGATAATGTTCACAATCATCATGAAATAAACATTTTATACTGCATGCATTTTATGTAGCTTGAATGGCTTCTCTTATTTGTCTCAATCATTCAACTCAAAATTTTTTGAAGATTAAAATCGCATTTATCTAAATAATTAATCTCCACTTAATTCATATGTATGGAAAATCATGCAAAATTTCTCAATGTGAACTCTCCAAACGAAAGAGCTAAAAATCATTTAAAAATTTAGTTCTCTTTTTTTAATTCTTATTCTCTTATTATTATGGGTATATGTTAGTCAATTTCTTTCTTATATGTGTATACTTGTCCCGTTTTTGACTCAACGGTTCGGATTCGGGTGATCTGATTGTTTTCGTGGCTCTGTAGGCATTGGTCTTGCTTACACTAGCTCAAAAGACTACATCCGATCAAATAAACTGTCGGGGAGCTCTTCTTTGCCATACTCTCTTCCTTCTTGCCATTAAATCTCTAAAAGGATTCATTGATTTACCTTGTTCGATCTATACTAAATGAACTATTTACGTACACAATACTCAATTGTTATGTATTTACCTATCAAACACCTAAACTTCAATCTTTACATCAAAATCACATTTTCTATGCAGTGAAACGTGTAAAAAAATAAAATTGTGTGTGATATGGTTGAATCCAAATATGTCTGGGAGACACACCTAAAGAATAGAGCGCGAAAGAGAGAAAAAGAACAGAGAGTGCACAAAAATGAACAGTTAAATCATGTAAATTTTATTCATGAAATGAGCCACTATATATATGTATAATGGTTGTAAGATTACATTCTAAACCCCTATTATGTAGGTATAGTAGAGGGTTTGTATATGTCTATTTATATGTGAAACCCTATGGGATGTATTGTAACTCCTCTGAAATAGTGAAACCGCCGCTCGCTCCCGAGGACGTAGGCAATTCTTTGCCGAACCTCGTTAAATCTCTGTGTTCTTCTTCTAGTTTGTGTCGATTCCTGTTTTATTCCGTTAAATTTCACAACAATTGGTATCAAAGCCCTCTCGAGGGGAACAAGAGGATATCGACGCAGAAGAAGATTTGAGAAGGAATTGCGAACTGTTTCACGGCATTTCGAAGTTCGCGGTTCGGGATTTCAGATAAGGAAGAAGAACTGCGGCAGTGCGATGTACGAGTTCGCGAGTTCACGCAGAGACACAGGAATCACGAGCGGAACAGGCAACATTCGCGAGGGTTTTGCGAAAGATCATTTTGCGATCGGGGGGCAGTGCAGGAGAAATTCCTCTTGGCGACGCGGAGGAGGAGTCAATCCAGTGGCGCAGAGGAGCGCGATTTGCGACAGGAGTTCGCGGATGGCAAGGTTTGCGTACGGGCAGGTCTTCGGTGCTTGTGATTCGGTGTTTGCGAATCGCGGGAGAAGCATAGACTGCGAAGGAAGGAATCGCGCGGAGCAAAAGGGTTCGCGGGATTCGCGATCGCAAGGTTCCGAGTTTGCGGTTTTGACAGGAAGAGGAGTTTCTGCGCGGTTTCTGCGGTTTCGACAGGAAGAGGAGTTTCGGCGGTTTCGGGAGTTCGAGAGTTCGGAGTCCTCCAAACGAGTTCGCGACAGGGCTCTGCGAGAGGGTTCCGAGTTCGCCACAGGGAGTCTTCATTAGAGTTCTCCACGTGCGACAGAGGCTGTTCCTCGGACGGTTCGACATCGCGAGGAGATCGCAGGAGGAATTCTTCCGCCTGTGCGCCTGTGGTTGGGTTTCTTCCGTGTGCAACAGGCGAAGCATTCAGAAGGAGAAAGAGTCCGCGAAGGCGCTTCGAAAGGAGGCGACAAGCATCTGAGGTTTCTGCGAGGAGTGCGGTTCA